AGAGTGTAATAAGCAAGCTCTATATCAGCCGGTGACTTTATATTCACTTTCAATATATTCGTCTAATCGTTTTTTAAATTTTTTCGCTGATGTAGATAGCACGATAGTTGATGGAAGACAACTCTATACAGTGGCTATTCTATTAAGAATGGGATTTCTTCTGTACGCAGATTGTTCCATTAACTCATCAGGTTTTACTATCATTTTTAACGTAGATATACACCATTTAACTTGAATGAAACTATTGACAATTTTGAAGCACTCCATTAAATCTCCTTTTAACCTTCGAGTTTCTAGCATTGTAAAATTAAACCTTTTTAATCGTGTTTCATAACTTAGATGTGAGAGGCTTCTTTTTCGAGTAGCTCTTCTTTGAACTTTTTCAAGAGCTGCTATATCGTATTTCTTTGATGGATTCCAGATTGGTGCTGTATATTTAAGAAGCAGTCAAACAAAGGCTTTATATGATATTTCAGCAATTGAGGTGGTGTAGAAATGTGTTTAACTAAACCAAGCATTCTGTTAGCTCTGTTGGCACAGTAATTGATATGTTGACTGTATTTTTCATGAGTAGATGTCATAACGTCTAGATCTTTTTCTGAATCGGAGCCTTCAATTCGAATTCAGATTTTTTTTTTTTTTTTATCAAAGTCAAAGATAGTAAAATTTCTTCTTTGATTATACTTACCAAAATTATTTTACATTTACTTATATTAAGTTTCATATTTCGCGCTTTTATACATTAAAAAGTTTTTATACAAAAACAAAATTTTCAAAATGAAAATAAATACGATAGATAAAAGAAGTGGTGATTAAGACATCTAGTAACATTTTCACTACAATTTTTCCACAGTTTTATAACATTAACAAATTTAAATTTTTTTTTACTAAAAATTATTTTATAAAAAATTTACCAAATATAAAAATTATCTCATGGCCTCATTAGAGTTAGAAAAACGAAATTACTATTACTAAATTTCTCTTACTAAAAAACAAAAGCTTAGAAAGATATTATTGTTATTAATACTTTATTAATCAACCTCTGTAAAATATATTTACAAGGTAAAAACACAAACTAAGAAAAAGAGATAAAAAATGTATTATTTAGGAATGTTTTCTTCAAGTGTCTTTTTAAAAATTGTTCGCTGTTCTTTTACATTCCAACATTGAACCGCGTGTACCAAAATATGAAGAGTAGCTTCAGGAACTACATCCTCTAAGACTTTAAGTTTTACTTTTTTTTTTAACCAGCATTAAGGTTTTCATATTCAGTTTATGATTATCCCATAATTCTTTTATATCATCTAAAAAAGAAAATTTAGCTGAACAGTAGTTAAGTTGGGAGTTAATGATTTCAACGGTTACTTTATTGTTTAAAAGGCGGATAAATAGATTTATTTATTTATTTTTTTTTTAATTTTAAATAGAGAGTGTATATAGTTTTTACTATACTTGGAGACATTAAAAATTGATTTAACTGCGTTCACTCCAAATGTGTCGATTCTTTTCATTGTTGAGTCTTTATTTTCACAGAGCTCTAGACCGTGGGTTAACGTTGGAACTGCTAATGATTTATATAACTGGATAGATCTTGGATGTGCAAACTGGATTCCAGATTGAATCAGAGTTTGCACTGTTGCCCGGAAATTTGATACCCTACTATCAATATTCATTCTATTTAATGAAGCAAAAATTGATTTTTTTGTATCCCAAGTAAAGCCGAGATGATTAAATTTCTCACTGAGAAAGAATGATGTTGTCATTGAGAAGAATTGATGTTGAGCTGAGAAGAATGATGTTGTCAGCATAAGCTATATAGCAGTTTAAGCTGTTTTTCGTTAATTTAATTGCTTACACCACCTATAAAGACCTCAAATTTACGAATTATTCTAATTTTTTATTTATTTATTTATTTGAGTTTTTATGCTATATTTTTCTATACGATGTTCTTATATCCGAAAATATTATTGGTTTAGCATAGGAACAGCCACAAATAGTCATTAAGACTAATCCAGAGGTAGCAAGATTAAATAAATAAAATGCGATTTACTCTTTTGTATTTTATGTTAATTTACCGTAAGATAAAGTAGACGAGGCCATTTGATTTATTTTATTTATTTTATTTATTTTATTAGTTTGCATCGTTAGTGGCACAACTACAAATTATCTCCCCCCCCAACCCCCGCATGCTTTTTGGTGGGGCCCCTTCTTGAGAAAAACCTGTGCATTATTCAAGAAAAAAGGTTCTCTGTCTTACAGGGTGTGCTCCTCCCTAGTGACATCACTTTTCATTTTACCCTTGTAATTCTGTATAATATTAAGTTTTCATCATTAAAATATTCTGAACAATTCTACTGTTTTACTCAATTTTATTCAAATAGATAAATGTTCTCGGTCTTTTTTTCATAAGGAAAAGGAATCAGTTAAAATAGTTCAGAAACACAGAAAATAGGATCTTCACAACTAACTTTTTTAACTTTTCAGCCAGCACAACTCCATA